TACTTGACACAGCGTATATTTTATACTTAAATATAACGATGGTGTTGGATTCGAATTTCCAAGTGGGATGAAAATGTAAGTTGTTATTTTAGGGTGGCACTGGTCTATCTTTAACGAATATTAAATTAATTTAATAATCACTAGTATTAATGACATGAGAAACTACAGGGTGAGTCACGGAAACTGCCTGATTTGAGAGATCAATAAAAAGAACTAGTAAAGATATCATTACTGTATAAATTTTATTGAAAGAGATATTACCTGAATTTTGTATCATTTAGTTTTAAACATCAAATCGGACAAATGACGGCCCTCATTGTCAATGCATTCAGTGTCGATTTTTAAAGTTCTGTTTAACTCGCTGAAGCAAATTGACGGGTATGTTGGCGATGGCTTGGCGCATGTTGTTCTTAAAATGAGGTAGGGTCCATAGACAGTCCCTCTCCAAACCCTCTTGCATTAGCACTTCGACTTGCCCTTATATGATGTGTTTACCCACGTAACCTTCGATTTCCGATCAGTAACCCTAGCTGATCGAAGGACGAATACGGAACCGAGTGCGCAATGCTCATTTAGGAGCGATAGTGGAACGGCCATTAGAAAAGTACGCCTCGACAGCAAACGCACTCTGCTCACTTGTCCAATGCATAGTGGCACCTGATTAGGCAGGTGTAAACTTCTTGACTTAGCCTTTATAATGAAATATTTTTCGCCCTTTTCCAACAACATCCGGCTGCTTGATACGAAATACAGAACAGGAAGTTTCCGTTAATTACCCTGTATATTGCAAATTTGTATGTGATACAGTTCTTACAAATATGGTTCTTGTTGTTACACAATAATGAACTATAAATTTGATTCTAGAATTTTTAAGAAAAGTATATGTTGAAAAACCGCATGACAGTGCCATTACAACGCTACCGATGTCGTTACCATTAAAATCATCAGATGTTACTTATGTAGTCACTTCCATAATGCAACAATGAATGAAGATTATCGTACAACTTGCAATGATCGCAGACCATACGATGCTCGCATAGCTTACTGTAGTTGTAGAGCTTACGATGATCGTAGAGCAAATGATGGTCGTAAAATGGTCGAGCAGCTTACGATGGTTGCAAAGCTAAATATTGTCGTAAACCTTACTATTTTCGCAGACCGTGCGGTGAACGTAGAGCCCCAAAACCGCGGGAAGCCCGGCGTTCGATTCTTCTTGCGTTTTTTTTTTCACCGCTGCAGCAGAGGCTGAGGCGGGAAAATTCTGAAAGCTGCGCTCGAGGCGCGGGGCGACTTTCTCGAGACTTCTTGTGATCGTTGTAAATTATTACATACTACGTACTACTTACATACATACATATTACATACTACTTACGATCATGTTACGACGCCGACTTTCGGATGGATGCACGACGTCGTAATACGATCGTCGTGAGTCAACAGATGATCAAAATCTTTTATTTCACAACATTGATTGTAATTTGAACGTACAACACCGTTATTTATTTCCGATGATGCATCACAGTGACGCGTATTTTTATTCCACTTCATTCATATCATGGTTAACAATACTCCTACTTCTTGTCACTTCCACACTGAAAAGTAATTCATCCAATACTATTTAAAGTCTCAGTCAGCTAAATATCAACACGTATACTTGAACATACGAACAACAACAAAGTTACGGTCTCCGTTATGACCGTCCGCAGCCGGTCTGTGATTCCCGCCGCCGGACGCGGAACAGGAAATGCCGAGCAGGCTTTTGCATCGTCAAGGTCAAGCCTGATCTTGACCCTGCCCTTAGGCCTGCGATTAACCCTGCCCTTAAGCCTATTAAGGGATTTTCTGGATAACCAATTTTTTATTGTGGTTTCAGCTAAGCTAAGCAAATTCTTGCTGCTAATTGTGGCGAGACAATTGTGTTTATTAGCTCTTGTTGGTAGTGGCAAGCCACGTGTTGTTATCGCTGTTGATAATTATTAATCGTTGTTGATCATTATTAATCGCTGTTGCCGTTATATAATTAATATTATAAATAATAATTACCGTTGATAATTATTATTTATTGTTGATAATTATTAATTCTTGCTAACAATTTATCTCAAGCGATGATTTTGCGTCAATCATCGTGCCGATGATGGAAGTATTCAAGAAAGAAAAATACCAAACTATATTAGCCAGTATACTCTTCACATAGAAAACTATACATAATCTAAACAAAATCTATACATCGGGAGCTGCTGGTGCTGCTGGTGCTGCTGGTGCTGCTGGTGCTGCTGGTGCTGCTGGTTCTGCTGGTGCTGCTGGTTCTGCTGGTGCTGCTGCTGCTGCTGGTGCTGCTGGTGCTGCTGG